ATTATTCTTTCATGTTCTACTTGTGAGAAGAGTTAGAAAACATACAGCATATTTTGTTCATTGGGAGGACTTCTTGTTGACCTCTGCTGTGTATTTATACAAAAGATCCCTGGAGGATTCTCCTCTTACTTCCCTGCACAAGCATTTCTAGAGTGGAGCAGAAAAATCCTGCTGATGGAGCTAGGGACTCAAGAAGCTCTTTAAAGCAACAACAATAACAACAAACAAATAAAAAATGGCATTAGCATCTGCAAGTCGTCCCGAAATAAAGGCAAAAAGACAGTAGATGCCTTCTCTAATTGCAAGAAATGTTACAAATAAAAAACACAGTTTTTCCGAAAATTGCCGGGGCCCTCGACCTGGCAATCAATTTACTCCCTTTTCAATGCAGAATTTGACAAGGATGATTTGTTTATGCTGTCACATAAATCACTCTGAGTAAATTAGGCCTGCCAAAGTTACTTTTTCAGCGCAAGACCGTCTGCTGCGTTTTCCCTACACCTGTGCCTTGCAGGGAGCTGTTGGAAAGAGTTTGGGAATCCAAAGGAGAGTGTGATCTTTGCAACGATGAAATAACTCCGTCACTGAGCGGGACATTCCCTGAAATTCATCGAAACGTAGGCAAGGAAACATTTTATTTTCTTCGTGCGAAAAAAAAAAAACAACCAGCGTGGAGCTGGTGCTAGGGTTAGGGGAGAAGCACAAAGATCCTTTAGCCCTTCAGATGTTGCTGCACCACAAATTCCTACATTTTGGAAGTTATTAAAGATGGAGCAACAACAACCCTGTGAGGTGGGTTGGGCTGGGAGAGAGGGACTGGCCCAAAGTCGCCCATCTGGATTTCATGCTTAAGGAAGGACTAGAACTCACCGTCTCCTGGTGATTGGCCCAAAGTCGCCCATCTGGATTTCATGCCTAAGGAAGGACTAGAACTCACCGTCTCCTGGTGATTGGCCCAAAGTCGCCCATCTGGATTTCATGCCTAAGGCAGGACTAGAACTCACCGTCTCCTGGTGATTGGCCCAAAGTCACCCATCTGGGTTTCATGCCTAAGGCAGGACTAGAACTCACCGTCTCCTGGTTTCTGGTCCAGCACCTTCACCACTACACCGCACTGGCTCTTTTGTCTGCCCAGTTTTTATTGTTTTTATGGCAGTTACACCGGGTATATTTTAACTGGTGAGTCTCTGAGAGTCTTCGATCGCAACAGGATAAAAAAGCGAAAAAGAAATTTTGCAAACGGGTCTCAGAACCAGCCAGGCTGCTGGGAGTTGTAGTTCAGCAATTGGGAAGCATCAGCTTTGGGACTCTTCGTGCCTACGGAGGCTGGAGTCAGGTGGCGGATAGCAGCCGGCCCATGATGGATTCTTCCTGCCAAAAAGAAAAAAAAGGAAAACTTTTCCTTCGCCATCCAAGGTTACAGCCTGTGCTTTCGGCCACCGTCCTTGGAACGAGGCATTAAATAAAGCGAGGCTTTCCTGCTAGGGTTGAATCTGGAGGTCAACCGGCAGCCCCGGCGCCTGATTTCAGAAACCTGCAAAAGGATCAGGGCAGGATGGAGAGCTGCTGCCTTCTCTTCTTCCTCGTCTGGGTTGTTTGCAAAGGGGAAAAGAAGGCGGTGGTTCGACCCTGCCCGCCACGAAGGAAAGGTGGGCGAAGAGGGTGGGAATCGCAGAGACGGCTAAAATTTATTTGTTTATCTATTAATCCATATGCTCTCCCTCCCCCATCTCGCTAGAATGTAATCTGACCCCAGAATTAACTTGGATCAGATGCACGGGTTCCCTTAGCGAGCGCGAGATTCACTCAGCCACCGCAGCGATTCACACGGAAAAGTTCGTAAAAATTGGGCCCGGCTCACTTGACGACCGCCTTGCTTAACAACAAAAAATGGTGGCCTCGGTTAGGGTTGTTAGTCTTGGACTCCCTGTGCTTTAGTGGGTGGACATAAATAGATTGCCAGTGCACAAACACCATTTGGTTCAGGCTCAGTGAATGGGGTGACCTGATCAAGCAGATCCAAGTCAACTTAAAGCACTAACTCAAAAGAAGAAATAATGCTAGGGATGGCTCCAGACCCAGCCTCTTGCTTCGTCTCTCTCTCTCTCCCCATCCCAGGCTTTCATTTGCTGCTTTCCAATCCACCCCTCCTACCTCTGCCTATTTCCTTCCTTTCTCCCTCCCTCCTCCCCTCCCTCTCCCTTTCTCCTTCCTTCCTAATCCTTTCTCCTTTCTTTCTTTCTTCCTTCCTCTCTCCCTCCCTCCCTTCCATCCTTCCTTCCTATCTTCCTGTTTCTTCCTTCTTTTCTTCCTTCCTAATCCTTTCTTCTTCCTTTCTCCCTCCCTTCTTTCCTTCCCCCCTTTCATCCTTCCTTCCGTCCTCCCTCCCTCTCCCTTTCTTCCTTCCTTTCTTCCTAATCCTTTCTCTTTCTTAACCCTTTTTCCTTCCTTCCTTCCTCCCACTCCCTTCCTTCCTTCCTTCTTTTCTTTCTTCCTAATCCTTTCTCTTTCCTCCCTCCCTCCCTCCCTCCCTCCCTCCCTCCCTCCCCCTTCCTTCCTTCTTTTCTTTCTTCCTAATCCTTCCTTCCTTTCTCCTTCCTTGCTTGCTTCCTTCCTCCAACGGATGGCATTCAGCACTTAAGAGACCTTCATGATGGAGTTCATTTGATCAAAGCAGGCCCAATTTATGGCTCCTGCTCCCTGGAGCCTATTTACTTTGCTAGGATTATGATTTGCTGTTGTAATATTGGAATGTCAACAGAGAAGCCAACGAAAAAGGGATTTGATCGATGGTGTGCCAGGCCTCTGGAAGAGCATCACTTTATCAACTTCACCGAAGATCTTCTCTGACCCCCGTCCTCCCTAGTCAAAGGGATCGTTTTTGAAGTCAGGGACACAGTGCAAACAAAAGATTTTTATTGTTGTTGTTGTTGGTTAATATTGACCCTTAAATGCATTTTTGGTCATTAAACCCACAGTAAAATTCTGAGTTGAAATAGCTTGTTATTCACACTATATTTCTTTTTACCCCCGAGACCCAAAATATTTGCATACATTCTTTTACAGTCAAACACTGGAAAGAATGAAACAGAAACATCTTAAAAATAATTCAGAAGCGATGGGCAGGCGCTGAATAAAGCAATGGATTGGATGCCTGGAAAGAAGCAATTTTGGTCTAAAAGGCTAATTAGTGTCCGTTTCCGATCGCAGGCAGGGTGGGGAACCAATGGGGCCAGTTCGCAAAATTGCAAAAAGTTCAGATTCCGTAATATCTATTGGCGAAAAGTTAGAAAGTCCTCATTTTATTTATTAAATAAGTTTATGTGGCTGCCCAGCTCATACCTAGATATCCCTGGGTGACTTACAATATTTTAAAAATCCACAGCATAATAAAAACCCACACTCCACCTGCCATGGCAGCAACAATACAATCACATCTGTCTCCATTCAGGATCCGCAGCCCCCCTGGCAAAACCACATTTTCAGAGCCTTACATAAATTCAACGGGGGGGGGGGGCAACCATGCTTCAGGAGAATGATATTGCATAAAGAAGGAGCCACCACTAATAAGGCCTTTTTTGTGATACTATCAGATGTATATCCTTAATTAATGGAGCCCATAACATACCCTGTCTTCTCAACCTAGTAGACCGGGTGGATGTAATAGGGGTTTTTAAGAAGAGTGATAGGAATAATTCCAGACAATATGCTGCATTGTATGAGCAGTCCTTATTTATAGCACCACTCTGCAAATCCTTTCTCATCCTAGATAACAAATACCTGGCTTCTGAGATTTAGTTACTATCTGTCCCTTGTTTTGATGGTGGTGAAGTCTTCTTCCATGTTATTGTTCCTCCAACGATGCGGGAGTTGATTCTCAGACTCACCGGTGCATTAACAAAGGTTTTCAAGGATGGACTCACACAGGTCCTAAGGTGGCCATTGCTATCTTAGGGGTTAATAATCCTGCCTCAATGCCTCATTATTATTAACACTCCATGCAAACCCTACCAAATAAACACCCAGGAAATCTTAATAGCCTCAACCAACACCAGGAAATAACTCAGCTAAGTAACTCGTTTGCAAAAGAAATGTCCAACTGTTGCTTAGAAAATCTGAACTCTTTGGCATGATAAAAAAATCAGCTCTCCTGATTCAGCTGCTGGGGAACTTTGAAAATTGCAACCTGGTCCATCTATTGAGTGAAGTTGGAGGACGTCGGCTTAGGACAGAGAAATTTATTTATTTATTTATTTATGAGACTTATATACCGCTTTAAGTGCAAGCACTCTCTAAGCGGTGTACACCAGTAAGCAATGTATATATATATTTACATTGCCCCCAACAATCTGGTCCTCATTTTACCTACTCCGGAAGGATGGAAGGCTGAGTCAACCTTGAGCCGGTGAGATTTGAACCGCTGACCTGCTGAACACAGTCAGCTAAAGTGGCCTGCAGTACTGCAGTACTGCACTCTAACTGCTGCGCCACCTCGGCTCAAATGCAAAAGTGAAAAGGGAGCTTGGAACAAATACATTCGTGTGGTGATGCATAAATGATCTAGAAATGACCATGAGCGGTTTTAATCTTCCTGGGGACTGATGAGAGAGCAGCATATAAAATGTTGTGGGAACTGATCCTCAAATATATCAATGCCTCAGCCCAGTTCTTGAGAAGATTTCAGAGCAGTTTGGAGACAAATGCCTGTGGCGATCCTCCATCGTCCAGGTTGTCCCAAAGGTGCTTTTCAAAGGGCAACTGGACTTTCTTTGTTTTTTCTTGAAAACATTTCACTTCTCGTCCAAAAACTTTCTTCAGTTCTGGAGCTGAACTGAAGAAGCTTCTTGAATGAGAAGCGAAACTTTTTCAAGAAAAAAATAAAGGAAGCCCAGTTGCCTTTTGAAAAGCACCTTTGGGGCCTGGAGACCAAGTAGATCTGGTTGTCCAGATCCATCAGAACGGAAGATGATGCTCGAAGCAATCTTCTCCTCCGTGTAGGTTTGCGGAGACTCAGTGAACAGATTTTGCTCGGTGAACGGCTCCTCGTGTGTGACTAATCCACCTCCTCACAGAGATTTCACACTTTATTCCAACTGGATTCTTCTGTTCCGTATCAAACAACAACAGCCAGCGCTCATAATTCACCCCGGTTTTCTGAAGTGGTGAGAAAAGCAAATGATTCAATAAACATGTTCCTTTTATCGATAGCACGGTGTCCAAATGTCCTATTTCAGAATGACAACTGACTTTAGCATTATCTACATATCCGTGTGTGTGTATGCATGTCTGTGTGTCTGTGCCAATTCTACAGAAATGTCATAATGCAAAGCAAGTGAGTATAATTTTAGCCCAAACCCCACTCTTTTGCTCTCGCCCAGTCACCTAGCATCCATTACCAATAAATATTGACCCTAACAGACTCAGTTGTCGGCAGCCACTCGCTGCCAAAGGGTTCCTCCCAATCGCTGCCAGGTGTGGAATTAATTTATCCCGTGGACCCGCCCACAGAGACGCTGCCGATTGAATTTAAATTAAGATTTATTCTAAACGGGCCCCTGCCAGTCATAACAAAACAGTGACAAATTAGCTTATTCCACAGTTGACATATCATATGGAATTAACATAAGCTACAAACCTGCCCGAAGTGAAATTTTCAAAGGTCACGGATTTAACATCGCACCTTGCTTATAAACACCACACACATCGTCTTACAGGTAAGGGGAATTCAACCGTTTGGTATATTTTATTATAAGAGAGTTTGTTATATACAGCACTGAACAGACTGGCAAGGAGAATATTTATACAAATCTTCCTGTTTGGGGAAAATCAGAGTCTTTTCATCAAGGAGAAGCTTCTCCAAGGTGTGAAGCTCTTAACATGTTAGGAAGTTGCCTGAAATACGTTGCGTTGGCAAATTTTGATGAGCTCACCGCCGAAGCAAATTTAGTGAGAATGCAAAATTGCCGTTTTCATTTTTGAAAAGCGCAACTTATCATTTGGGGAGCAAAGCTTAACCTGGAAAGATTTAGGAATGAAAATCTAAAAATAAAATATCATCCATTTGTTCATTGGACTGTATATTTATTCGATTGGCAGATTGCCCCTGCATTGGCTTACTGATTTGAGTTGGGTTTATACGCTTCTCTCTCTCTCTCTCTCTAGTTGTTTGGGGATAATATATAGACATAATGCCAAACATTTGTTTATTTAAACCATCTTCCTTCCTTATGGTCAGTTGGGTGTTGCATAATTAAAATTCCATCCAGTACAGTAGAAACATGACAGCCACTCTATAAAATCCTAATAAGAGAACTTAAAGGGGTTACAGGTATCACGAAACAGATCAATCCATTTCAATGCTGCTTAAAGAACAGAAAAGCTACTCAATTTGGCTTAGGGCTTGGGGAAAAGATTAGAAGGCTTGTAAACCTTTCTTATGTAATCCAGATTTAGGGCAAACGGGGGAAAAGCGTGCAATTTCCTGCTTTCGGCCTCAAAAATGCTTTCAGCACCAATGGGTCATTTGGGGTTGAATCTCCTCCAGCTTCAAACCTTGATCTTCTCTGCTTCCCTCTTCCAGTTTCCCAACCTTGTTGTAGGCATTGCTTGGTCCTTCTGCGAGGAGAGACAGAGCAAAGATGAGTTTTTAAGACTTGCAGGAGGAACCAACTCCACCTCTTTCGTTTTAGGGAAGGAGTAATGGAATAGTTTGAGGAGGCTCCTTCAACGACACAGTAATGTTCTCCTTCCAACTCTTGTGTTCTTCTCTATGATTTCTGTCAGCTGGAAGACTCTGAGGTAAAAGATACGCTAATCTGGAGTGTTTGGGGGTTATTTCAGTTAGGCCTTGATGGAGCTGGCAAGGCTGCCCCTGCCCCCTCCTCATAAATCCCAGTAACATTGCCCTAAAGTTCTGTTCGAGTGTAAATAACATTAGGAATGAAAGATTGGAGACACAAAAATGGAGGTAAACTTGGCCATTCTGCCTTATCTGACCTGACTTGACCTTACTAAGATTGAGACTACAACACAGCAAGATAAAAGTGATGAGGTACTGTGATTTATGTCAGTTGTGCTACTAATGAAGTCAGCTGCTCTCTCCAAGTTTTCTTTTCCCATTTTTCTTCTCCTGTCTGGCTCAGGTTTTCAACGGTTCCCCCAGTTCTACAAGGAGAAGGCTGCAGACCAATCTGCCAGCAACCTCTCCATGAAATGTCCATTTTGCTAAGAAGAAAACGCAGTCAAGAAGTTTTCCAAGATAAGCGTGTCCCTGTGGGATTATCCCTGCCACCTCCCTGGCTTCCCACACTCAATCCTAAAGGGAGACTCTGGGAAGGGGCTGTCCCCACTGACCTATTTCCAGGAAATGGAAATGGCAAAATGAATGAGAAACAAGAACAGCAGCCAACTCCAGGACATTTCGCCATAAACAAATAAGCTCAAAAATCAGCACACCTTTCAAGCAGCTAAGAGTTAGACAACTCAGCCATGTTTTATTGCAAGAGGGGGAAAAAAAGGTTTGGGGAAATGAATGTGGGAGATTAAGGACAGAATGGCACCGGCTGTAAGGGGCCAATGGGGTATAGCTAGAAAGTTAAGGGTCCCCTGTTTGTCTGTCATTCTGCCTCCTCTGTATAATAATAATAATAATAATAATAATAATAATAATAATAATAATAGGCTCCTTGGGTGCAATCCCAAAACAACTGGAGCACCACTTGAACACCATTGGCATTGACAAATTCTCTATTAGTCAATTGCAAAAGGCGGCCTTACTAGGAACTGCTTCCATCCTGCAACGATATCTGTAATACCATCAAACATCCACATCTGTCTATCCCAGGTCCTGGGTAAGGACTCGATAGGTAGACAAAATGCCAGATCCAGTCTGAACATCTGGCTGACTGTGTGATGATCCAAAATAATAATAATAATAATAACAACAACAACATCTTGACGTTGAATTTTAGCAGTGCCATCCAGCAAGGCCCAGAGATCCATGGGGCAGTTTTGGTGGTCATTGAGGTCAACAGCTAAGATTGCCCTCTGCTCTTTCTGGCAGCCAATGGCCATTTCCTTTCATTTGAGAACAAGAAGCCCCAAATGACGCAAGCTGTGTCTTTAAACCTGGTGCTGTTCTTTGTGTTTGCTGTTGTAAGGCAGCCTAATCATAAATTTCACTCCCTGGAAGAATCCTAATTTGTATGCACCGCAACCCATAGAGTAAAAATCAATTCAGATTGCAATGACTCTTGTCAGGCCTTGTTAAAGTGTATCAAAATTGCTGCGTGAAGACAATAAATAATCCAGAGGACATTATTTGGGATGGGGCTGGGGGGGCTGGGGACACAAACAGGATAATTAGGATTAAAAATCCAGCTGTGGATTTGGGGCCAGGGACCACCGTGAACAATGAATGGCTATTGTGTCATGGAAGGCAGCAGAGAGTTTCCGAGCAACGTGTCTATGGAGATCCTCAGTCATCACGATGGTCCCAAAGGTGCTTTCTCAAAAGGCAACTGAACTTGAGCCATTGCTGACCTTGAGCTGGGATTGGCTTGGCTTGGCAAAATTTACCGGCCATTTTCAAAAGTAGCATCTCCTTTGCGCCAACTTGAGTTTCTAATGGCCATCTAGGTAGGTGCATGCATCTTTGGGTACAGGAGGGGTGTCTCGTGGTCTTTTTTTCCGGGATGGTTTTTGGACTTTCCACATTAATATTAGCCAACAATCAAGAAGTAAACAATACAACAATCGTGGAACTACCAAGTCAGACAAGAAGCAACAGCCTAATCAAGGAACTACCAAGATCTCTACCAGCAGCCACTTGCATATAAGCAAGGAGCAAACTGACTCCCTTCTAGCACTGATGATGTTACTTAGTTGGATAATGAAACACCTGCAAGAGAACTACCAAGTTCAGAGAGTACCAAGGACCCCTCAGTCCTCTTCCTCCTCCCCCCTTCCTCCATCCCCACCACCATGCAAACCCTACTCCCTTCTAGCACCAATGATGTTACCTACTTGGGTCATAAAACATCTGCAAGAAAAGCACCAAGCTCAGAGAGCACCAAGAACAGTCCTCCTTCCTCCTCTTCCTCCATCTCCTTCTCCTCCCTGCACACTCCACTCCTTTCTAGCAATGATGATGTTACCTAGTTGGATCATAAAACATCTACAAGAAAACCACCAAGCTCAGAGAGCACCAAGGACAGTTCTCCTCCTCTTCCTCCATCTCCTTCTCTTCCTCCTCCCTGCACATTCCACCCACTTCTAGCACTGATGATGTTACCTAGTTGGGTCATAAAACATCTGCAAGAAAACCACCAAGCTCAGAGAGCAGCAAGGACCCCACGCTTCCCGGTCCCACCTACAAACCTATCCCTTAGGACCCCCTGCCCACCTGCTCACAACCTCCCACCGAACCTGCTTAGCTCTCAGACTCAACCACGTTCCACTAGGTGCTGCCCTCCCCCAAGATTAATCACGGTTGAATTAATTTAATTCCGCCAGCTTCAGCCAACATCCCCTCTGCATTTAACCACTCTCCCCACTCCTGTGACAAGGCACAGTTTCACACAGTGGCTGCAGCGGGGGGGGGGGAGTCAGGAAAGGAGAGGATGGTGCTCCACGAAGCCCATTATCCAGAGAGACTGCAATTAAGTGCTACAGGAATCTGCCACGAACAAGCCCAGCTTACTACTATATATCAGAATGTAAATACAAGTCTGGGCATTAATAAAACAATAAGTGGAATGAATAATTTACCAAGGCTTGCCTTTTAAAGAGAAAAAGACCAAGATTACCATTCCAATTGGGCTGCATTTTTTTCCCCTCCTTCTACCTCCAGCCATGCTCCAAAGAATGGCACACTTACCTGGCCCTCCCCTCGCCATAGCCAATTAACACGTTTCCCAAACCGAATTTAGGCGCGCCTCCCTGCCTCCCTGCCTCCCTCCTTCCTTCCTAATGAGGTTTTTCTCTCCCTGCTGTCTTGATGCAAAGCTTTATACAGTATGAGTGTATTCATATGGTGCTTGAGTGTGTTATCTGACCTTGATTGGTGTTTTGGGAGCCAGTTAAATAGATTACATAGAGGTTACCTTGACAACTGCCTTTGCTGATTTAGCAACGCTGTTCGGTCCTGGGCGCAAGATTCTCACGGTGGAATTCCACTGACTTCGTATTAATCATTAACACGATCTTCTGCAGAGATTCTGCCCAACTGGCGAAAGGAGGGTTGCAATTTTTATTTTTATTTTTTTTTCCAGCAGCAGTAAGAGGAGGAGGGTAAATACCACACATCCTCCAATGCTTACAAAATCCTGAAAAGTTCATTTATCGACTTAAAAATGGAGGTGCTCTTTGTGTGTGTGTGTGTGTGTGTGTGTGTGTGTGTGTGTGTGTCTTCTCAATCACTAACCTGCTTTTGAAAGGAAATCAGAAGGATCAACCCGAAGTGTTGACATTAGAGCTTCTTTTCAAGTCTACCATGAGCTCTTTTCAGGTTGTGACAAAGGGACACAACCGCAGATAGGCCCAGGAGCGGAGACCCACTGAGTCTTTTGCTTACATGTCAAGCAAAGTTTAGAGCAAAGATCAGAAGGTTGCAGTCCTTAAGCCCATCCATTTTCCACCTGAATAGAGCAGATGAGACACTGCCAGCTCTGTCCAGATGTTGTGGATACCTGCTTCCACAATTGTCAGTCAAGTCAGCATGCTAACTAAGAATTCTGGGATCTGTAGTCACAACTTCTCAAAAGATATCCCCGAAAGATAAGTTTCCAGTGGGAACAAAATGAGAGGAACAGAAGGAGCAGGTGAGGAGAGCTTTTCTCCACCTGATATCTTGAAGAAGCTAGCATAGCTCTTGACCAACTGGAAGAGACATCAGATAGATGGAGATTGGCCAGTGACACAAATTACAACAGCAGCTGCCAATTCATCACTTGTCACCAGACATTTTGCTCCAAGTGAGCTAGATTTTGGGGAAGAGAGGGTGCAGAAAGAGAGATTTTTGTCCTCTGGTGATCCTTTCAGGCTGTTAGAATTCTAACAAGACAATTATTCCCTGTTTTAGAACAGCAAGAGTTCAAATGCATGTTAACCATTACTGAACGAATGTATGGGGACCACCTATGTTTCCAGAGGTTGCAAGGCTGCGATGGGCTGCAGATTTCCAGCTCCTGAGCCAGAGTTAAATACCGTGTACAGAAGCAACGGGTAATACCACGATATTTGCTTTGGTGACTGAAGACTCTGCTCAGCAGATCCAGCAATTGTGTTTGCTTAGAGAGTGATTTATCTCACTTCCCTCTCGGTTAGCAGAGAGTTCTCCTTCTGGGTCAAGGTTGAACACCGTGCAGTGCAGACAAGCCAAGTTGGCACTTTGATATTCTACATAACGGCCAGGCCCAAGGATAAACAAACAAGTCAATTTTTTTTTAGTGCTTCAGAATAGGATTTATTGGCATTTGGGGAGGGTAATAATCTTCCCGAGAACAAAGAAAGAGGACAGCTGAGAAAAAGAAAAAAAAAGGAAGCCCAGCAAAAGAGAAATCGGCAAGTCTTCTGTTCGTGGGAATGAGCACCCAGGCATACTAGATGAGATTTTTAAAAGGGGGTTTTCCGATGCTTTGGCTGGAAAATAAAGATCACTGAGAAGAGACTTTAGAGCAGTGGTTCTCAACCTGTGGGTCGGGACCCCATTTGGGGTCGAACGACCATTTCACGGGGGTCGCCAAACAACGCAGTCCGCCATTTTCCCCCCTTTTTCTTAGCTGTGCTACTCCCTTTTATTCTATTGGCTTTTGAAAGCCAATAGAATAGACTCTCTTGAATAGAGTCTAATTCTATTGGCTTTCCAAAGCCAATAGGAATTGTCCAGGCTGTCTCCGCCAAAGTCCCATTCTGCAAACGGTGCTGCACCAGTTGAGTAGTCCTCGACTTACGACCGGTTGAGTAGTCTTCGACTTACGACCGGTTTGGGGTCACGGCATTAAAAAGGTTGAGAACCACTGCGTTAGAGCAATACACTCCTTCCTAATGAGGCTCTAGGAATCAGCTCTGCGGTCTCCCTTTACGCTGGAGGATGCCCACCTTATCTCACTCGCCAGAACTGATGGGCTCAAAATCATCCTTGATTGCATGATTAGGTGCTGTCAAATCAGGGTTGACTCTCAGCCACCCCATATAGGAAGTCCTCGGCTTACAACCATTCATTTAGCGACTGTTCCAAGTGGAGAGAAAAAAACACCACTTATGAAAGTCACAGCATCCCACGGTCATATGCATAAAATGTGTGCACTTGGCAATCGGCATGCATTTAGGACAAGTGCAGTATCAGGGGGAGGGCACTAGATCTCCATCTGCAATCTTCCCAGTTGGCTTCCAATAAGACATGAGAGAGGCTGGATTTGCTTAATGACTGTGCGATTTACAGCCAGGATGATGTACTTAATAATGTGGCAAAAAAGGTAATTGAATCGTGCTTAGCAATGGAAGTGCTGGTCCCAATATCCCAAATTCTGCCCACATCCTGGAGTCTGATCTTGATGGGGCTCAAGGTTGACTCAGCCTTCCATCCTTCTGAGGTTGATAAAATGAGAACTCGGCTTGTTAGAGGCAAGATGCTGACATTGTGAACTGCCCAAAGAATGCTGTAAAGTCTAAGTCTATGTAAGTCTAAATGCTATTGCTATGGCTAAATGTGGCTATAAGTTGGGGATTACCTAAAGATAGATTTTCTCCAGGACAATCTGTCCTTAACATGATCGTTCAAGTCTTCCAGTAGTCTTCCACCACCATTACAAATGAGTCATCCACCTTGGCATTTGTTGGTCATCCTCTTCTCTTTCTTTCCAACTTTCCCAGCATTAGAAATTTCTCCAGAAAGCTAGGTCTTTCACTGGTCACCAAGGCTGTCTTCAACAGTAGGTAGGAAATAAGCACAATGAGTACCAAGATCCATGTCAAGCCAGGAAGACAAGAATTAGTGGCCCACATTCAGGGGACAGGAGATACACGGGATCATTCCCCATACTTGCCGTTAAAATAATAGACAGTATTCTCTACAAAAAGGATCACAGGATCCATGTCAGGAGGAAGCTGATGTATCCCCAAAGCTGGTTTGGGATTCAAAACATGTTTGTAAGTAAATATTACCCCATCAGTTGTTTTGACAATTGCATAAAGCCTTGAAGGACACATTTGTGTAACTCATAGCTTCAGGAACAAATGCCCCACTTTTCAAACCAGCCATCAGCTACATAAAACTCAGAAAGCCAAACTGTCCATTCGTGGAACTTCAAGTTACAGATCTGAATTTCACGAGAGTTGCCAATTATTTTAGATCCTGTATCAAACCGGATGACCGAGAAGCTTGAAGACCATCCCATGTTTTCTTTCGGAACGGTGATGTCCTATGCTGCATTAATGGAGTAAACTACGCAGGTTTGTCCAAATACAGGAATGATTGCAGGAGTATTCCTTTTGGAGGGGGGGTGTCACAAAATTTGGTCGTGTACCTTTGCAAGCCACAATTTTTGGCTAATTCTTATTATTTGACATGTCAGGGATGGGATAAATATCATGGCGATATTTTCACGGAGAGACCCTTTTCCTTCCCCCACTGTACTTATTTCCTTCCTTTGTTTTCTCAACGTGACCTTTTAGGTAGAATAAACATGTTTTGATGGGAACTTTGCTGTAGTAGGCGTACAATGATCTTTGGCCCTTCGTATGGTGTGTACTGCATAACCTTTGGGGAAAGTGTTGCCCAAAGTAATCCATCATGAGTCAGTCTTCCAGATTTAATGGCTGTGACTCTCCAGCAAGCATGCAGTTAAAGGTGCTTCAGCAATGTTGGGTTCACTAGAGACCACAGTCTGGTTTCTGGGGAAGGGGAAGTGAAATATCTCAGAGGAGTAGCTGAGAGAGGCATTTCGCACGGCTAAACATGACAGTGTGAGAAAGCAATATGGAACAATCATGTTCCATCAAAATAGTTATTCCCCAACAGATCCAGGCAAGATTCCTTGGGCATCTAAGCCAGCAGTGTAGAGGGCATAAAGAACGGGAACTCAAAGGACAGGCAGTTCTACAATAAAGGTAGATCTACACCTACATGGCCTTGGTTTCTTAGTCTGGTCTACTTTATAGGGCTGACAAGCATGAAGGAGACTGTAGCCATCTTGACCTCCTAGGTGATGTGGAAGGACGTAGTATAGAGTTACAGGAGAGAGGGTTTTCCCCCCCCCCCAGGAGCAAAGAGGCAAATCAGCTTAGAATCTTTCATATGCAGAAAGAGATCCAAGGCAGACTCTCCCTAATGGAGTATATCTACTAATTAGGTAGATTTGTACTTTAGTCTGGCAAGATTCCTGTCTGTAGGTGAGCAACAATGAAGAAACTGCTCTGAATGTCTATGGAGATTCAATCATCCAGGTCACGGTTGTCTCAAAGCTGCTTTTTTCCAAAAGGAAACTGGCCTTTCTTGATTTTTTTTTCTTTGAAAATGTTTCGCTTCTCATCCAAGAAGCTTCTTCAGTTCTGATGCTTTCAGTCCTGAATGCCATCTTGAGAACCGAAGAAGATTCTTGAATGAGAAACAAAACATTTTCAAAGAAAAAAAAAAAACCCAAGAAATCCAGTTGCTTTTTGGAAAAAGCGACTTTGGGAAAGCTATTCTGAAATAACTCCTTGTGTTGGTCTGAATTCCTTGTGCTTTGATTCCATGGCGGACCTTTTTATTGTCCCTCTTCTTCTCCTAGTACAGCCAAACAATCCCATCTTTCAAAGCATCTCTGGTGCCTTTGTCTAGGACTGGTGCGCTTTTGTTTGAAGAAAGTGTTACA